TTTGATACAGGTTGTGAGGATGACAGACATCTGCTCTGGAGAAAGCTGAGGGAACACACCTGTGTTTTTCCACTTTTCGCATGACTTCCTCAATCCCATTACTTTGAATTATTCCTAAGCGATTCACATTTATATAACAGTGGGATTTAGCGAAGGTTCTCTTTAACTGAAAAGTCAGCAGGGAAGAGATAAAAATAGTGTTGAAAATCTCTGGCAAACTCCACTGCGTTGTCTAAGCATGGGACAAAATTGTGTTAATAAAAATTTAGAGCTATAAATTCCGACGCTAAATATACTGCACCCCTCTGTGTGCAGAAAGGGATGAGAAAGCCATTTCTTTACACACAAAAGGCTGAACTGCATAGTGTGCAAAAACATTGTGGGTGAAGACTGACAGGCTTGTCTGGAGTACTGATGGAATTTGAAAGAGAAAAAGGATCCTATAAAGATAGAAGGTAATAGGAATTTAAATTATTTCTCCAGTGCAGAATGTGCACTCAACTACAATTTAGAAGCAGAAAAATGACAAGAGATCAGTAAAAACCTCACAACTGCATTTCTCTTATTATTTCTAACACAGTATGTGGCTTTAAAAAGGTAAAATAATCATATGTTTTTATCACTCAAAACCCATTCTAAAAAAATCCTTTGTAATGTGCTCAAACATGAAACGTTTTTAATCCCTATTCAACACAAAACACTCTTTCGTCCTGCAGCATTCTTTCAGTCAGACACTCACTGTGTGATGAGTGGGGTGGTGACAGAGTGCTTTATCAGAACTGGCAGGGAAACCATCTCGCTGAGTTGGATAGAGGTGGTGTCTGTGGCTCTGCGGAGTGTGGGGTCCATAGGAAGGCCCCAGGGGCCCCGAGTTACCTGCTTCAGCAGCTGACACTCGGGGGATGAAGCTGTGTGTGAAAGGGAGATGACAGACATGTTGCTGAACAAATAACACTCTCACAACTGCAGAAAACAGTTTTTAATAGTGCAAAGACAACAAAAAAAAAAGATGTAGAGTAAACAGAAGTCAAATCATTATTGAAGTAATGTTTTTGCTAGAATGGATGATGCAAAATAAATGTTATTTACTATTTTCATAGTTGATTCTTGACGTTTTTCTAAGTAACAATGCCAAAACTGACCGTTTTCTTAGTTTTCTATTATATAACTGATGGTCAAAATACAATTCAAAATAATATGTACAATATTTAAAATATGTGAACTTTTACTATTGAGAAAATAACCAATTAATTAATAATGGTAATAATTGTCTGAAGGGATGTATCAAAACCTCTTTGACACTATCTAAAAAACATATCGGCTTCACATTGGGTAGTATTTACTGCAGGGTGCTCTCATTAAATAGCACTATATTGTAAGGTGTTCCAGTTACTTTGTCCAGCCTCTATATTGATGGTAACATGGTCCCTAAATAATTACGGCTCCTGACTTTGATCAGTAGTGTGGAAAATGTATTCGGCTGAGTAGATTCTGATTGATTTCATGGAGAGCCTGGAAGCTGGCATGAATAATAGCAGCATGACTGAACAACACACGCAGAGTGAAAAAGACAAGATATTACTTCGACGGGTTAGATGCATCCCAACCAAACATAAACCAGACTTAATACCCTTATGAAATATCACTGTTTTTTATGCAACCTCTGTGCCTGCTGATGGAGTAAATATTTAACAGCCTCTGGAAATAAATCACTCCTGAACATGTTTTAATTTACATGAAGTAAGCTCCACCGCTGTAAGGTGTATCATTTTCATTTCTCTGCAATTTGACATGATGTTTTGCTGTATTTCAAAAGATGTTACATTTCTCATTAGGCTATTTCATCAGAGAGTACACAGGCAGCAGAAGAATTAAGAGTCAAGACATTTCACTTTTAATAGATTTGTACTGTAGACATCTATTTTGTTGATAAGAGACTGGTTTAGTCTTTGTTTTAGGTTCCCCACATGTTTAGTCTCATCTAATTTCTGCCCACAAGCAAAGGGAGCAATCTTAGCAGAATTATCATATTCATTCCCTTACACTTTTTCGGTCATTTGTTAAATAATTACAGATAAAGGGGAAGCAAGAGCATCACTTTTAAGAGACTAAATTATTTAGTCTTATTCATAAATGAGATCATTTACTTTTGTCCATTTGGTTTTGGATTGTAATACAGTACCTACTTTACTTTGATTGTGCTTTAAAATAATTAGTGAGTTGCAATCTGCAACTACAATGCTAGATTCCACTAAATCCTACACACTGGACCTTTAAATTTGGGGTTCCTCAAAGTTCTAGTTTGAAACCCCTTTTGTTTTCTATTAACATGCTCCGTTTGGCTAAAAAATAATGATTATTTTGGAGGCTGGAGTTTACGGTGTTTATGGTGCTGTTGAGTTCTGTTGTGATTTACAAAGAGGTGTTTCTGATATTTAGTTTACCCTCATTAACATAAAAAGGGGAAGACAAAGAAACACTGCTCAGTATAACTCAATATAATTTGACTACATTTTAAACTCCACTATCTAAAATGGCCATACATTTAAAATCCACCTCTCTGAAACAGTTTCAACAAAACACCATTGTATCTACAAACAACTGAATACCCCTTAGGATGTACAAAATACCCCAGTCAACATTTCCCACATTAACTATGGCCAAAGATTAATGGTTCCCTTAGCACCCTCATATGTTTTCAACTAACCCATTAGGTTGTAGCAGTCTTCGTAGTGTTCCACCTGGTACTGTGTAGACAAAGCCATGAGGTATTCCTGCTCAGACTTCTCTCCAGGGGACAAACCGAAGCCGGCTGTCCAGGAGCCCATGCTCTCAACCAGCTGCTCGACAGGGCTGTCCGACTTAGAACCTAAAGAAAGATGTAAAACAATTACTTTGGACTTACACAGAACAAATATCTATCCAAGACTAGAAAAATATTTAAGATTTTCTGACTTTTCAATGCGAGTGAAACTCAACAGTTATTAGTGTAGATTTGAGAAGAGAAAAAAAATCACACTATGCTTTGTATGTATACTACTAAAGACAGGGTAAAATGATTATTACATTGAAGATCTAAGGCATGAAGCCCCTGACAATATTATGACAAATATTATAATTTTAGATGAAATTTGGGAGAAAACATTTGTATTGCACTATTTATTCTTTGCATCCTACCTGAGAATAAACCAAACAATAATCTAAGCTATATATTAAGGTATTTGCTTTTAATAGCTGGTCAAAGATTGCTTGCAAATAATTAATTTGGTTTATGTCAAAGAGAAGATTACAACAAAGCTGCAATTAGAAATAGAAGTATCTATGAAGAACTATGTTTTAATACTTCTGTAGTTTTTCAGTCATCTTCAATTGAATAAATTAATTGTGTTATGTATTTCTAATTGTACAAAATGATCTCCTCTATGTCTGATTTTATTAGTTGTGTCATCACAAAATACAAGAGTGAGAATATGAGAACATACAGTTGGATTACATCTGCATCAAAGATCATAACGTATTATACTATCTTAAGCTTATGTGCTCGTCACAACTGCAGAATGTGTATCACTTATTATTAATTACCTTTACCATCTTCGTTGTCTTCTCTCTTCTGCTGATTTCCAGTGTCTTTACCCTTCACCACACACCCAACTCCAAGTGAAGAGTCTGATGAGTGGCCATAAGCACTTCCTGGTAGTACAAAGGCTTGCGGCACCGTTCCCAACACCACACAACCCACCCCCAGCGTTGAATCAGAGGAGTGGCCGTAGGCACTGCCAGGTAGTGGTGATGGAAGTGGTTCAGTTTTGGACACAACACATCCAATGCCTAAATTTGAGTCTGAAGAATGACCATGGGCACTGCCAGGTAGAGGAGAACGTTTGGGTTCATCTCCTGAAACTACGCATCCAAGACCCAAGGCGGAGTCTGAGGAGTGACCATAGGAGCTTCCAGGTAGAGCAGACAAGGCGGGTTCAGTTCCAGATACTACACAGCCTGTTTGAAGGATGCAGTCTGAGGCATGCCCATGTTTACTCGAACGAAGTCTCTCTTCGGGTATGTTAGAAACAAACTCGCCCACTTTTATATTAGCATCAGAGGAGTGACCATGGATGCTGGGAGAAGGAAGTAGTGCAACAACATCTGAGACGTTTTCTCCAACCTTAATGTGGGCATCTGAGGCATGACCATGGATATTTGGAATAAGAAGAGGAGCGACAAAGTCTGAAATGTTTTCCCCAACTTTAATGTGGGCATCTGAGGCATGACCGTGGATATTTGGAATAAGAAGAGGAGCGACAAAATCTGAAATATTATCCCCAACTTTAATGTGGGCATCTGAGGCATGACCGTGGATATTTGGAATAAGAAGTGGAGCGACAAAATCTGAAATGTTCTCCCCAACTTTAATGTGAGAGTCAGAAGAGTGACCGTGAGCACTGGAGGAAAGTAGAGGAGGATCAACTTCGGAAACATGAGTTCCAATCTTGATGTGTGAATCTGAGGCATGGCCGTGGATGTTAGGGGGTGGAAGAGGAGCAGTTACACCTGATACATACATTCCAACCTTTATGTGAGCATCAGAGGAATGTCCATGGATGTTACGCAAAGGTTGCAGGTCAACGGCATCTGAAACCAGCTCGCCAGCTTTTAGGTGTGCACTGGAGTCATGCATGTTTGGCAAAGAAATATTTTTACCAGCTTCATGCTGGGCATCTGAACTGCAGGGTTGACTGCTTGTATCAGGTGAAAGACTTGTCACCGCTTTGTGGTGACCATTATCTTTACCACCTTGCTCTAGTGTGGTAGAAGCGGCAGTATCAACCACATCATCTTCTGTATGCTCAACAGGTTTACCCTTGTTTTCTTTTGCCTCTACTTTACTTTCCAAATTCCCCATTTCAGATTTCTGTTCTATAACAGATGCAACTTCCGCATGCTTGTTGTCTGGCCTTAAGCCACTTCCATCTACGAGCTGCACTGAGGAATGAGAGGGATGTCCATAAACGCTTGCTTTAGATGTATTTTGGGGCTCCTCTGGGGTGTATTGGCCTAGAGGAAAGCTGGATTTGGAGGCTTGACCAAAGGGGCCGGCTTCGGGGAACCTCTCCTGAACTTGAGATATGTTTTCTCCTATGGGGATGTGAGAAAAAGAAGGGTGGTTTTGGATCAGATCAGGCTGGACTGCAGGTCCCCACCGAGGCCGGGGCTGGGAGGAGGCTTGGCCAATGATACCCTCAAGTGGACTAAAGGGGGCACTGAAGTCATAGTCTACCAGTTGTGCTGTAGGACACACTTCAGGTAGGTCAGAGCCGATCTCCTGTAGGGCAAGATCCACGTGCTGACTGTCAGGATTTGGTGACTTAGCGAGAAAATCATTGATGTCAATGTCCTCAGAGATGAGAGCAGGGTCTACTCTAAGGGCAGATGAAGATGGGTCGAGCGGTGGTGATACTGCATCAGATTCTTCAGTCTCCACTGGCTGCTGTTCAGGCCGATCCTGAGAGGGAGATTCCTGTTATGAGAAGAAACTAATGAGGATAGTACACACTTCCCAAGAGCATGATTAAGTGTAAAGAAATGGGGATTAATGTTCAAAAACCAATGTGTTGTCATACCAGTGTTGGTTGTGGTGCAGTCTGTTGTGCTGAGGGAACAGATGGCAATATTTCCATGGGTGGTCTCTCCTGGCCTAAAGGATATTTTTCTAGCATTGCCTGGAAATAAGGCATGGTCTGGTTAAAATGACTTCCCTGCTATAATAACAATCTCTTTAATCAGATTTTTCTTGTCCTCTGTGTGTGTTTTCCGTGTTAATTTATTACGAACCTGAGTCTGCTGTCTGTCCTGCATGAAGAACTGAGCCCGGGCTTCGTCAAGTCTCATTCGCTGCACCCGCCACATGGCCCGCCTCTCTCTGCCAGCTGCTTCCTCTGACAGACGGCTGTACTGGGCAATCAGCTCCTTCCTACAATTTGAGTGTAGTAAGGCACCGAGTTACAACTAAGTCATCTAGCTGACGGTTATATCCAGAGCAACATGCAGTAAATGCATGTCTAGGAAAGGGTTAACGTCACGTAGAGCTGTAACGAATGATTATTTTCATTATCGATTAATTTGACGATTATTTTCTTGGTCAATCAATAAATCAGTCACAAAATCACAAAATGTCACACAATAGATAATGATAAATGCCCATCACAATATCCCAGAATCACAGGGGATGTCTTGTTTTATCTTACAATTGTAGAAGATAATGAAAAGCAGCAAACACTGAAACTGTATTTGTGCATATTTTCTTTAAAAAAATAATTCTCAAAGAAAAAAATAAATCAAAATAGATCAAAATAGTGGCTGATTAATTTTCTCCATTGCAGCGCTAATGTCGTGAAGATTAAATATGGAACCTCTAATTTATGAGATTGTCCTTTTTCCCCACCAGGTCATTCAGTCACCTGGTAGCAGCAAATATTAAGAGTAAAATATTAATATACTCTTCCTGAGCACAGATTGGCTGATGTCATTTTTGCAGACATGTCTGATGTTGAACATCATACTATAAATAATATGTCTTATTGGAATACTGAATAATTTATATTTAAATTTGCAATGTGCAAATTATTCAGCAATCAGTGTTCCTTCAACTCTTATGATGATACAGTCAAGCTTACATGTGCCAGGATAAGTGTATGTGTGCATATGCGCTTTCAGGCTCTGTATTAAAATGTTCCTTAGCCAATTCTCAGATCCTTTACTGCTTAACAGATAATAGGCCGTTAAAGGCCATTTCACAATTTATATTCTCAAAGCAAATCTCAAAATAATAAAAGGTATTAAAATCTTGAAACTTAAAAAATGGTAGTGCAAGGCAGAAACGGTAAAGGAATCCACCATGAATTGGTTGGATTTTGATAAACTTTTGATGACCTCCACACCTCATGAAGCTAACTTACAACTTTTAACCATCTTATGCCATGCTTGCTTTACAGGCTCTGATCACACATCTGCTCATGCTGCGGCATCACGCGGTTATCCCAACTGCATGGAAATTCGGTCCAGCCACTGATATATTCCACACAGATGGAATTGTTGTCCCATCATGTTTGCACATAGTCAATTAACATATCCAAGATCAAATAAAATCTTAACAGAGATTAATCAATCATCATTAAAACATTAACATCTCTAGCAGCTGCTGTGAAAACGGTCTGACCTGGCTCTCTGCTCCAGTTGCTCCTCCAGTGCTTGTAGCCTCTTCTCTCTGTCCCTCACCTCTCTGGCAAAGCTAAAGTCATCATCCTCCTGCTTCCTCTTGGCTGCACTTCGCCACTGGTTCCAGAAAGACACACAAACACACAAACGCAACCACATACATCATTGCTTTCAGCTTCTAAAATGGGCATCAACAGCTGTGGGTGAAACGTATGAATCCAAATCTCTGTTTACTCGTTTCTGCAATGAGTACCGGGAATAACGCTGCATCTCCGAAAAGAAACACGTGTGTGACGGCTACTTATATAGACGATGAATGGGAAGCAAGGCAATGACCTACCATACCACCATCATCAACATCTCGAAATATAAAACATAAAAGATTGTCTTTTTTGGTATCTCTCTTTCTAATACATCATCTTTCCTTACTCTCTTACAGACACATGCTCAACATCTTACACACATTTCTCTTGTCAACAAATACACAAGCACATTTTTAACATCTCTGTTCTCACACAACATATTGTACTCTCTCTCTCTCTCTCTCTCCCTCACACACACACACACACGTTACTACCTCTTGCTCCTGCTCCAGGTGTTGTTTCAGCTCCTCAAAACGCTCTCTCTTCTTGGCCTCCTCAGCCAGACGTTGTGACACCTGCCGCCCTACAGGAGTCGAAAGAGATAACAGTTTACAGCTTAACCCCCCCCACACGAAAAGTACATAATATCACCATCTTTCTCACATGCACACATACACACAAAACAACATCACCATCTGTGTCTCACCCCACCCCCGCCACACACACACACACACACACAGATAAATATGCCTATGCCAAGACACGCATAGAGCATCAGGCCAGACTTTGCACCACCCCTCCCAAACTTTACCACACATCTTTTGAAGTAATAAATGATGTGAGGAGTTTGCTAAACTGTGCAAGTGATGATTAGATTTCACAACCCATAATACTAGAAGCCGTACTACACATTCCTCAATGCTACTGCCCTTGTGCATCTCTGAGGCTCTTCTAAGAGGAATAAATGAAGCTAAAAGGAACTCTGGTAGTCAAGAGTCAACCAGCGAGTGTAACCCACACTCGGCTTGCGTTGACTCTTGACTACCAGAGTAGTCTGCCGAGCCGATTTGTTAAAAGTATACTAAGCAGGACGGGGGTATGCATATACATCAAGAGCTTTATAAAATTATACTCACAGCATGTGTGTAAGTGCGTGTGTGTAAGTGTAACACTAACCGCGGATGCTCTCCAGGGTTCTGGCTGCTGACTCTCTGACCTGATTGATCAGCTCCTGGCGTGCCTGCTCTACTCGCTGGGCCTTACAATAGACAGAGAAGAAATCATCATTAACAAAGATCTATCTGCTTGCCCTGTAGCTCACCTCTCCTTCCCCACCTCTGCCAGTCAGCACTGCCAGCAGCACACCCAATATAGGCTATACGAAACCAGGTTGTTACACTACATCAAGCAGCGGGCAAGCCCCAGACTTCAGCTGCATCATTTTAATGATTCGCTACTGAAACTCTCAGTACTTGAGGGGCAGTGTCACCATCATGGATCATGTAAAAAAAAAAAAAAAA